ACACACACACACACACACACACACACACACACACACACACACACACACACACACACACACACACACTGTGTCTCATTGAGCCAGGTACAGAAGGCTGCAGATCCCCTGCAAGGCATCAAATCCATGGGTGGGCTCTCATAGCATGTGCTAACGAGCTGGCTGATGTTCTCACTTCCATCCTCTTAGTCAGAGCATTGTCCTCTCCTGTCTCAAGACCACAACTATTGTCCCCATAACCAAGAAGAGCCCACCCACCAGCCTCACGCGTCTCCGTCCCCAGCTGCTTCTCCTGCTACCGCTCGACAGGCCTCGTCTGCTCCTGCTCCCCCAGCCTCGCCCGCTTCCACTTCACAGGCCTTGCCTGCGAGTTCCACTGGCTCACAACACCGTCCAGTAGCAGGTAATGATTTTTCAGAAATAGCACAAAGGTGATTTATCCATGATGCAGTTGCACAATTTTAACAACAAACACTATTTTTCTTTTTTTCATTTTTTGTTGCAGTCAAGCGAGAATGGTTCACTGCCGGCGCAGAGTTGATGTCTGCTGTGTGGCAGATGTCCTGGATTGATGAGGAGCTTTTGGACCAACGAAAGCCAGAGTTTCAGAAGAAAGACCAACGTGAGGAACAGCACATCGATCAGATGGAGTGGGTCATATCAATGAACGAGCGTGTTCTTCGTCTGAATGAACGTGTTTTTGAGCAAAATCAGGCTACACAGGAGAGAGAGCTTGCTGTTTCTCAGCAGGTCTGTGACATCGAGGAGGCCTTCCAGCAATCTGTGCTGGAATTGAAAAGGGATGAGCTGCAACAAAAGGCTGCTTTTCTTAGACTGATGTCCAACATGTAAAGTTCTGCTCAGAAATGATACCTTTACCTTTTGTGTGCAATAAAGATGTTTCCTGAAAAGTGGGCTGTTCTTTCAGTATATAGTCTTAAAAAACAGCAGAACAATAGTATCTAACGACCCAAATTGCTTTTGAAGTGTTATTTTTGTATTAAGGTATTGTTTAGTCTTGTTACAAATTTTACTGCACAGTTTGATGTTGTTAGGGGCATATCCAAGATGATATTTGAATATTCAAAGACATTCATCCTTTCTAATTGGCCATTTTAGTCTGGTTTGTGTTTGTCCATTTGTTTTGTCGCCCCAAATTTCTATGATAAAGACAAATGAATAAGTAAATCTTACCAATTAGCTGACCAATTTGTTTTGGAAAATACTTTTAAGGCACAAACTAATTTAATGTGCACTGTCATCGACGACTAGTCCAATATCACATCAAATTTAAGTTCAAAACCGTAAAACTCAACAGAGTACGCTATTTTTGAGTAGGCTAGCTTTGCTGTGGCAGCCTTGACCTGGGTTGACACAGGTTCARGAGTTGTACATTAATATTCACTGAATAATTCCTATGACTTTCATTGACATCTGTGATGTGCATTATGCATTTTCTTGCTAACAGACAGTTTTTCATCACAGCATTAATAATGAAAATTTCATCATTCAACACACTTTATGTTGCTATTGATCATTGCAGTAGGCCTACATTAAATTCATTTTGTGATTACATTAAGGTGTGCTCATTGCAACACTTAGCCTGAGATGTACAGTAATTAAGTGCACTTCACTGTACTTAAGTAGAATTGTTGAGTTGTCTTTGCTTTACTTGACTAGTTAGTTGTTTTTCAGTCTGTTTATTACTTGAAACTTCTTAAATTTTTWCACAATTAACAGTAGTTCCTACTCCATACTTTAAAAAAAGGGCAAGAAGTAGAAATTCATTTTAATTTATTCTTGCTTGTTTTCGTTCAAGCTTTTTATTGTGAAAAATAAATACTATTCATATAAATTGTGCCTCATAGATAGTGAATTTAATTGTGGTTGAATGAGAAGTATTAATATACCTAATAAAATTCTGATACCATATTGATCAGTAAACAAACAGATGCATGCAGTTGTATCAAGTCACAGTTACGGAGAACTTGTATTTGAAATCATAACTTCATTAGAATTCCAAAAATGTATTACATCAATACATCAAATTTATTTTCCCGCTTGCATGATTATAAGCATAAGCCAGACTTTTCTTGTTTCAGAAATTAACACAAAGACAGACAGTAAACAAGTCGTGCAGTATTAGAAATGTTCTAAGTGTTGGCCCACATTTGCATAACCTCCTCCCTGATGGCTCCCTGCAGCAGGTTGTCTGGGCACTAACCACACTAACCATGATGGGTCAAATGTCTCTCCGTGGTCTTCACACAGGTTATGCAGAGCACAACACGTCGCAACCATGTTCTTCACCAGTGAGATGTCACATTCCCTTTTTTTCAGCAAACAACACCACCTGCCCTTCAGCCGTCCAAAGYCGTGTTCCACCACGATTCGTGCACAACTAAATTTGAGGTTGAACATTTGCTGCTCCTGTGTCAACTGTCCATTGTCCGGAAAYGGCTTGAGGAGCCAGTCATTGCAGCGGGTATGCGGAGTCGCCCAGGATGTAGTAACCAGCAGTGGCACCACCTATCACCCTAGTGTGGTTTGGGGAAAGGTTTCCCTGGCAAGCCTGCTCGAACAGGTTGGACAGATGAAGAACCCGGGCATCATGAACACTACCTGCCAGCCCATTACTTTACATCCACCCATTACATTACTTCCAACGATGGCAATGGGGAAAAGTGACTTTTGTAGTGTGTATAATTGCTCGAGGCAATGTGACCGAGTAAAAGACAGCGGAGAACCTTGTTCTTTTTACCGAATTCCTCCAGGAAAATCGAGCAAAGCTACTAAAAGAAGAAAGCTGTGGCTCAATCAATGCGCTTCGCCGCCAGGACTTCACTCCGATGAAAAACAGTAAAGTGTGTAAGCTGCTTTTTTTTTTCTGGCATGGCAATTAATTATACAAACTCTGTGGACTACATTCCTACATTACATCTTGGATATGCGAAACAGACAAAAGAGAGAGCAACCTCCTGCAGCAAAACAGCATGCTACTGCACAGATGAGAAGACAGCTAGTGCAACAAGTCAGAACAAAAAACTGGAACTGCTAGGCCTCGCTGTACAAAAGACCACTGAATTTACTGAAGTTTCAACCTGCCACATGCTAGGAGATTCTTCTTYCAGCCAACCTGAAGAAATAACGTGAGATAAATGTCATCAAACACATGCAGCTCTGTCAAAATAAAGAYACCACAGCACAGTTATCCTGTATTTGGTGGAAATCATTCRACCAAAATMATTTCTGAACTCTTCCTGAGCTAAAACAGCATTGTTGTTTCTAAAAGAATATYAAGTTGTTTACTTGCATAATTTGAGGTTTGACAGCACTGCATCTGTATCATTTTGGCCATTTCTCATT